GTTAATGTAACAATACAATGATACTTCAAATGTTAATGTAATAATACAATAATACTTCAAATATTGATGTAGTAATACATTAAGACTTCAAATAGATGTAACAACACAATGAGATTTCAAATGTTAATGTAACAATACAATGATACTTCAAATGTTAATGTAATAATACAATAATACTTCAAATAGATGTAACAATACATTAAGACTTCAAATAGATGTAACAACACAATGAGATTTCAAATGTTAATGTAACAATACAATGATACTTCAAATGTTAATGTAACAATACAATAATACTTCAAATATTGATGTAGTAACAAATTAATACTTCAAATAGATGTAACAATACATTAAGACTTCAAATAGATGTAACAACACAATGAGATTTCAAATGTTAATGTAACAATACAATGATACTTCAAATGTTAATGTAATAATACAATAATACTTCAAATATTGATGTAGTAATACATTAATACTTCAAATAGATGTAATAATACAATGAGATTTCAAATGTTAATGTAATAATACAATAATACTTCAAATAGATGTAACAATACAATGATACTTCAAATGTTAATGTAATAATAAATAATACTTTAAATATTGATGTAGTAATACATTAAGACTTCAAATAGATGTAACAATACAATGATACTTCAAATAGATGTAACAATACAATGAGATTTCAAATGTTAATGTAATAATACAATAATACTTCAAATAATTGTAACAATACAATGATACTTCAAATGTTAATGTAATAATACAATAATACTTCAAATATTGATGTAGTAATACATTAAGACTTCAAATAGATGTAACAATATATTAAGACTTTAAATAGATGTAATAATACAATGAGATTTCAAATGTTAATGTAATAATACAATAATACTTCAAATAGATGTAACAATACAATGAGACTTCAAATATGATTAACATTAACTATATAAATAGGGGTTTCTAAAACTCATTATTTTTAATGACGTTTCCAGTATAATTTCTCTGTTGTATGCCGCTACATCTTTCATACTCTTGTTTCTTTCGTTCGAAATAAGTAAACGGGAACATAACGTTCTTTTTTTTTGTATAAATTTAACACTTTTCTTATTATAAATAAATAAAAATTCTCGTCAACCGTAAACTTATACACACGATTCTCTTGATTAGTTGCGATCTTTATCAGTTATTAAGATCATGAAACGATTAATCCACCACCTTCTCCATCGTGTCAAAATAGTTTATTGAAATTCGGATCCAATCGTTTTTTAAAGTCTAAAGGGCTCGAGTTGTCCCCTGTGATGGCGCTCTGTATTTCGGAGCTGGCGAGCCTGGTTTGAATCCATATAATATATGTCCTGCACTTCAAGCTGTGGATGCGTTGCAACAGTGACAATTATCGTGGATTGTGGGCGGTAGGGTGCTGCTGACTAGTTGCTTCGGGTCGATGGTTCAAAATAGGAACGGCGGCAGATAGCCTTAATATTTTTGCCTTAAATACAAATACATTATAGGTTTAAGTAAAAGAAAACATACATTCTAGAAAAACGTAAAATATCTACCTTAATTCTCAATTTCTGAGTCCAGGAGACAGTCTTTGAATGACGTTGATTGTTAATCACTCTGATGGAAAAAGTTTTATTTCCATTGCAGTCTTTGGCGAGTACGTATTTGCACGGTCCTTGAAATGTAAATATTCGACTGTCGAAAGTACGGTAATGAGGGTCTCCAAACACAGTACATACCCCGTCATCTAGAAGATTTAGATAAACACACATAACAATCATAAATGTCCTATGAACTTTATTTTCTATACGTTTATATTAATGTTACAGAAGAGGTAGAAAGGGTAAATAATTAGTTATAACCAAATCACACACACTGGTAGACAAACATGTAGTTTACTTAACCCTAAACTTGCCGATGGAGTCCATATCTCATTGGCATTTTTTTCCTTAAAACACTTGTATGTATGCACCAAATTGACTGTGTATTGCATGGTCCCTAATGAGTCAAGCACTTACAAATTTAAATATAAATACAATTAATACTACAGCTAATCCAAAAAAAAATGATGTTGGGGTTCTAGACGTATTTAAAAAGAAGAAAAGTAATTTCATAAATTTCCACTTTTTTTATATTTCTTTACTTTTAAATCACTCAATACGATGTAATATTTAAACCTCACAGGTAGTGAACTGTATGAGAGATGTTGGTCGTTTGAGGGACAATCCTTTAATTTTATATTTTTTCTATTGCCGGTTTCTTTAAATGAAGGAAATAACAAGAATAAACCTCAGATGATCTATCAGGTTCTGAAGATGTTAACTACCGTCGGTAGTTGAGAAACTCTGAAGTTAACCATTTCTTCCATCAGTTCCGTTAGTAAAATCTTTTAGAGACAATAAACTAAATTGCTGTGATATCTTACATGGTCCATGTAACTTCATCATTTGTAGAATACAAAATGACACGATTTATAATACATGAGATGGCCCATAAAATTACCTAGCTTGTGATAGACTACGAGGCCCATACGATTACTTAGTTTGTGATACACAATGTGACCCATACGATTACTTAGTTTGTTGTACACAATGTGGCCCATAAAATTACATAGCTTGTGGTAGACGACGAAGCCCATACGATTATTTAGTTTGTTGTACACAATTTGGACCATAAAATAACCTAGCTTGTGGTAGACGACGAGACCCATGCGATTACTTAGTTTGTAGTACACAATGTGGCCGACATAACTACTCGATAATCTTAAGGACCACCTCCTAAATCAAGACCCAGGCATTTAATTCTTTAATTAAGACTTGTTCTGTAAGGCTAAGTACGTATTTGCACGGTCCTTGAAATGTAAATATTCGACTGTCGAAAGTACGGTAATGAGGGTCTCCACACACAGTACATACCCCGTCATCTAGAAGATTTAGATAAACACACATAACAATCATAAATGTCCTAAGAACTTTATTTTCTATACGTTTATATTAATGTTACAGAAGAGGTAGAAATAAACTTTCCATTGGCTGTGGTTTCGCTATATCTTAACATATCTTATATGTTAAACGAAGCCATTTCCCGTACCATAAATTACGCGGTGATAGAGATCACGTTGAGCAACAAAATCTAAAAAACTCAAGCATGTATAACCAGAATATGGAAAACAAAAACTGCCTACAACATCTTATAAAATGTATAAATATGTGAAATTTTACTTCTAACACTGGGTTCTTCTACAATATGTAATTGAGCCATTTACAAGAGACACTTGGATTAAGGTTTGGCCTGAATACTTTGGGATTTGTTGTCAGAATAATTTGGAAATATTTTCAAGACTTACCTTCTACACACGAAGGACAGCATATCCCTGGCATGGATTTCAATTTGTAACCTGTCGGGCATCTATTTACTGAACAGTCAACCACTGAGCACATCACTTGACTCTCGATACAGGAACACTGGACGCATGAATCTCGCTTCCACGTTTCTCCTTCCTAGCAACCAAAGTTCTATATATCATACACTGAGAAAAAGTAGTCCTAGTAATACAAATTTTAGGTATCATATATTGGAGTAAGAGAAGAAAGTTAGTCCTAGCCCTAGAAGTTTCACGTATCACATACTGGACTGAGATGAAAAGTAGTCCTAGTAATAGAAGTTTCACGTATGGTATACTGAAGGTAGACAAAAGGTGTGTCCTAATAACAGACGATCCACTTATACACTGAAGTGAGATGAATGTTAATCATAGTAACATATGTTTCATGTATCATATACTGGAGATGAAATAAGAGAAAACCTATTCCTCCTAACCAAAGTTCATATATCATAAACCGGAATGACAGGAATGTTAGTTTGTAGCCTTACAGAACAAATTCTCAAAGTAATCAATTGTTAATTCTAATCAAACATATTTTTATTTTTCCTTTGATGGCTTATTGAGTGGATTTAGACCTAAACTAAACCTCCTAAAAGCTGGCCAATGTAGTGAGACTGGAATTGCAGCTGAAATATTGTTTGCAACAACAAGAGCAACAAATTTCAAGTATCAGTTATATGCAACAAATAATGATTAAAGGTAATTTAAAATTCACAGGATTCGGTTTACTAATACACTAATTTAAATGTATTTTTAGTGAGTTTGTTGTAATTATTCCTTTAAAAGCTTTCATCAATTATATTGGTCAATATATCGAATGTATACATTGCTTTTTAGTTTGATTTGTTGTTTATTGTTATACTTTTATTATAAATATTTTTTCAATTATTGTTGTGTATTTAAGGCTAACCTTAATCTTTTAAGCTCGTCGAACCTCGTGAGGTATTATTGGGATTGTGTACGAAAATGGCGTTGACAGCGACAATACCAGACTGAAGAAACAATGTATTAGTAGAAACGTAATAAAAACTTACTTATTTAGGTATTCTGATGGCCAGGTTGATTCTGAGCTTCACTCTAAGCACATAGTTTACTCTGATCCGAAGTTATTATTATTAATTATGTTACATTGACTTGAGTACTCCCATACCTTCCTGAGGTTTATATAACACTTACTCCATTACTTCTAGAGGTGTATCATGGACACTTACAACTAAAGGATCTCAAACCGTCAATTCCCGTTGCTGTAATTTTTAACATTTCTCTATAAGTAATTAAATTTGTGTCACGCGCTAGATGTATTATTTTAAACTCCTCTTTTACGAAATAAGTAAGCAATTTCAAAAGCCTATTAGTGAAAGCAAAGATGAATATGTTATATTAAGTAATTTATAATCATTATCAATTTTATTTAAGTCATTTATAAATCTGACTTTTAAGATAAAAATGAATAACATAACATTATTTATTATTATATTTGAATTAACTTTACTATCACTCACAATGTTTGACGCAGTACTGAACAAAGTATCAGTTAAACAATTGACAGTTAATAATTTTATTCATTGTAAAGTGTCACATTAATTTTTAATTCACGACACTCTTAAAAACATGACTTTAGTCTGGTTCAATTTCCTTCGTGTATTTTTTATTCATACCTCATAAGCTCGTCCTTCGAACATACAGACTGGTTTTCTTTCTTCTGGTTCACGACATTTGTAGCAGCACTGGTCCGGAAGCGCCACCTGGAACTGAGGTGGACAATGGACAGGTGGACATACTTTCCGTTTGCATATGGTTGTAGAATTCTGAAATACAGCATTATCTTTTATGTTGCTAGTTTGAACATAAATTTCAAAATTTCATGTGTAGCATTTTTACTTCACTTGTGAAAGCTATTATGATTTGATGGTTATATTCACATTTAATAATTCAGACACAAAAAATGACACGCGTTTCAGTGTAAGAAGTAGGATAAACATGTTTGGCATAATATTTTATGTTGTAAAATAATTTACTTTAGGAAGTTACTTACCTGACATTTACAGTGAGTACAGGGATCAAATGTCACCTTCTCCCCGTTACTTATAGTATTAGTCGCTAGGTGACACTTTCCACTAACATCCTCAATTTTACGGCTACCTGTGAAAGTTAATAAATCACTTAAAAACTGTTGCATGTTGCATTTATATGTTACTTATGATTAAATATTAACACTTTATTTCCAGAAGAAATATTCTAATACTAACATAAATATCGAAACCATAAATATATAATTCAACAGATGGCGCTTTTAAAAGTTACATTATGAAGATTAGCAAAATTACAAAATGCAAGTGGAAGCAATTAAACTTAATACACTAGCTTTATTATCAATTGTGTAAACGATTGGATGATTCAGTATTAGTATTTTTTGCACTTCTACATAAATCTTTATCACATTACACACTTTAAATTACTTCACAAAAAAAAAATGGTTTTGGTATTCTTCACACCTTTTATGATTTTACAAATTCAAGATTCATAATAAAGCCCGAAATGAAAATCTCAAGTTAAAAGAAAACTTCAGTTGCAAAACTGTATATTTTCATATTCTTCAATTTAAGATCAATTATACTGGTGCTTCAGAGTTCCAGGCAAAGTAATTATTTTTATCTCAGTTGTATTAGTAATGTATTTATACCATTCTCTATAAAGTGTACAACACCTCCGCCGGCTATATTTTAATATAAAATGTACTGAAACATCACCAGTGTAATAATGTAACTTTACGACGTGGACAACAATGATCAGTATATGAAATGTAACTTTACGACGTAGACAGCAATGACCAATGTAGGTAACTTTACGATGTGGACAACAATGACCAATGTAAGTAATGTAACTTTACGACGTGGATAGCAATGACCAATGTAAATAATGTAACTATACGATGTGGATAACAATAACTAATGTACCTTTACGATGTGGATAACAATAACTAATGTATCTTTACGATGTGGATAACAATGACCAATGTAAATAATGTAACTTTACGATGTGGATAACAATGACCAATGTAAATAATGCAACTTTACGAGTGGATAACAATGACCAATGTAAATAATGTAACTTTACGAGGTAGATAACAATGACCAATGTAAATAATGTAACTTTACGATGTGGATAACAATGACCAATGTAAGTAATGTAACTTTACGATGTGGATAACAATGACCAATGTAAATTATCCACCTCGTAAAGTTATATTATTTACATTGGTCATTGCTATCCACGTCGTAAAGTTACATTACTTACATTTTCATTGTTGTCCACATCGTAAAGTTACATTACTTACATTGGTCAATGTTATCCACATCGTAAAGTTACATTACTTACGTTGGTCTTTGTTGTCCACATCATAAAGTTACATTACTTACACTGGTCATTGTTATCCACATCGTAGAGTTACATTATTTATATTGGTTATTGTTATCCACATCATAAAGTTACATTACTTACATTGGTCATTGTTGTCCACATCGTAAAGTTACATTACTTACATTGGTCATTGTTATCTACCTCGTAAAGTTACATTACTTACATTGGTCATTGTTATCTACCTCGTAAAGTTACATTAATTACATTGTTCATTGTTATCCACATCGTAAAGTTACATTATTTACATTGGTCATTGTTATCCACCTCGTAAAGTTACATTATTTACATTGGTCATTGTTATCCACATCGTAAAGTTACATTATATACATTGGTCATTGTAATGTAACTTTATGATGTGGACAACAAAGACCAACGTAAGTAATGTAACTTTATGATGTGTATAACAATGACCAGTGTAAGTAATGTAACTTTACGATGTGGACAACTGTGACTAATGTAAGTAATGTAACTTTACGATGTGGACAACGATGACCAATGTAAGTAATGAATTTTAAAGTGTGGACAAAAATGATCATTGTAAGTAATGTAACTTTAAAATGTGGACAACAATGATTAGTGTAAGTACCTCTACAATTTGATCACAATAACCAGTGTAAGAAACGTTTCTTTGAAAAATGAACAACAGAAACCATTATACGTATCGTTTATTGACAACATGAACACAATAATCATTGTAAATAATGTTTCTACACATCCTGAACAACGGTGACCACAGAAAGTAATGTACATATATATATATTGTGGACAGTGTAAATAACGCCACAACGTGGATAACGGTCATCAATGTATCGCTATAACTGGAATAATAATGATCAGCGTAAGTTCGTATCTCTACAATATAGACATCAATAAGAAGTGTTTTAAACATACCTCTACAACGTGGACAACAATCACCTGGGCGATGAACATACCTTATTGACTGGCAAGGTAAAACCGGACAAGCTTTCTTGAAACAAACAACGTTTCCTTTCTGAGAGAAAATAAACATCCAGTTGAATTCCTTTTCCACTTATAAATAAACGTAAAAGTTTACTAGAAATCAGTTAATTTTTATCTATTTGTTTTTATTAACAGTGCCTCAATGACCGTTATGTTTATATAATTATCTTCTGGGAGGAAGTTACTTATTAAAATCACAATATTACCCACTTTATCTAGAATGTGGATCTTAACAAGCAAAGATTAATCCTCAGTAGCCTTTTTACGGTAAGAAATTGCTTGGGATTTGGAATGTGATTTTTAACAAACAAGGATTATGCCTCGAGGGTATTCCTTCACTAATAAGTTGCCAGACAGGTGGGGAAAATTATTATTGTATTTTTTCGTACAAGCAGACTTACATTATAAAGTTTTATTATATCTTAAGTAAAACACATCGTGAAGAAAAAGATAAGATGATGGAAAAAATCACGTGTACCTGACAACGACACTGTACACAGGCATCGGCTTTCGTTGCTTCGAGTTCTTCTCCATCCCGGTAAGTCCTTCCTCCGATGGAACAGCCTTTAACAGAAAAAACTAAGTAATTATACTTCATACGTATCATAGGAGAACTACGTGGTAAAAATAAAACGATATTCAAACCGATATAAAGAACGCCGATTAAATTATATAGAAAACCAAGTTGGAAAAACTTCTTTTAAATGATAACCATCGTGCGACCCTTATCAGTGACTTACTGACAGGAACCCGTGCTAATTAGAGAACTTGTAGTGAAAGCAGTATGAATCCATCACACAAGTTCAAGTTCGTGACATTTTTATCGAGGCTGGTTGGCCTGTAGTTAGATGCCAGCGTAATCATTAAAGACATTTTGAACACTGTCTACCTCAGATGCTGCTGACAAAAGCTGTCTGATGCTTATATCACACAGATATTTAAATAAAAAACGTTAAAACTTTAAACACTTTTAGGAACATCGACGTTGCGGTGTTCGGGTCGAACATGAAAAGCAACCTTTAGCTAGCATTACAAAACAAAATATAGAAATCATAAATACAAATACAACTGACATGAAATATCCACTCTGATCGTCCCATTGAAAAAGATACAAATACAACTGACATGAAATATCCACTCTGATCGTCCCATTGAAAAATATACAAATACAACTGACATGAAATATCCACTCTGATCGTCCCATTGAAAAAGATACAAATACAACTGACATGAAATATCCACTCTGATCGTCCCATTGAAAAAGATACAAATACAACTGACATGAAATATCCACTCTGATCGTCCCATTGAAAAGATGGGGTTCCATGAAGAAATGAGAATCTATAGAGTTTCACTTGAGACTTTTTTAACTTTTACGGGCTATGTCTGTCACGGGAATCGAACCCCGAGCTGTATCTTTATAAGCCCTCAAGCTTAACGCCGAGACACTCTGAATGCAATGTTTTTAAAAATAGTTGCTTGACTAACATTTTTAATACCTTGCCACATTCTTGTTGTGTACAACCTTAAAGCTTTGCCAAACAAATAACTTGATTACCTGTATTATTTACTACCTGTAACAGTGTCTGTGGCAGTCGAATTTTTTTCTAGTGGGTTTTAGACTTAGTTCACAATCCAATGTGACAATGTAGGAAGTTCCCTCACATGAAACTAGGCAGCAATAAAAAACTAATCTCTATTTACACCATTCACCCTAAGTGTCAATATAAGAGATGACCATGTGTCACTAACATTATGAGGGGTTTAATCTCTTTTTCAACAGTGAAATTCAATGTGAAGATATGGAAGATGCTTCATGTGTCACTAAACAACATGGAAAATTAAACTTCCCTGTATGACAATATCAGTATGTAGTATATACTACCCTATTGTGTCACTAGACAACATGGAAAATTAAACCTCCGGCATGACAATATCAATATGTAGTATATACTTCCCTTTTGTGTCACTAAACAACAGGAAGAACTTAACCTCTCTTGACAACTGTTTTGTGTAGTAGAAAATACTGGCTTAACTTTATTACCTCACTTCACTCCAACTAATTATTTTATACGATTTATTCCCTCACCATGGTATCGTCTTATCCTTTCTAATTGTAATAATAGGTTTCAGTAATGCAATAATTACTTAAATGTCTAGCTGATATTACCTCATCGTTTATAAACTGTAACAATAATTCTCAGTAGTGCAATAATTAAGTATGTAGCTGATTTCATCTTATTGTTTATAAACTGTAATAATAGTTTCCAATAATGTAATAATTACATAAGTGTCTAGCTGATATTACCTTATTGTTTATAAACTCAGCAGTGCAATAATTAAGTATGTAGCTGATTTAATCTTATTGTTTATAAACTGTAATAATACTTTTCGGTAATGTAATAATTATTTAAGTAGTTAACTTTTTTTCGCGATATCACAATTAATGGTTAAATTGTTACTAAAAGTGCACACAGAAGATATGCTTATTTACATTATCAGGGTATACTACATGATATACAAAATTATATGTATAATCACATATCTTCGTCATCCAAGAATAATATACAAAATACTGATCACCTTGTATTTGATCTCTAACAAATTAGGATTACAAGATCATAAACTATCTGTATATCAAAGCAGTGTGGTCAAATATCTGAGAAAAGAAATCCAGAGCACTTGAAAAGAACGTTAAAGTTACGTAAAGAACTAAGGAATTAACAGGCATTTCCTGGAGTAACTATCTTACAATATATTACTATGGAATACAATATTTCACCCACTCCTTCTCAACAAAGAACTCACGGAATCCACATTCGATAATATCCCACCCACTAAAGAAAAATTATGTGCTAGTATATTTAGCCACGGAAATGAGTTGGTGTACAATGTCGGTGTTTGTTCTATGATTCGATTCTTTATTGACACAAAAGTGCCCTTGAGAACAGCAACAGTATATCACACGTTACATATAACACAGGATTCCTTATGTGCATGTGGCCAGACTTCACGAAGCAACTCGCCTTTTGACTGATAACCAGCATACACCATAGGTCGACACTACCGCCAACTGGTAGCAGCGGTAGGTATTACCGATAGCGAGCACAAAACAGATAATCAGGAGAGGGGTGAAGAGTCAAACGGCGCTAAATATATAAATATTGCCTGTAAAGAAACTTACAAAGTTTGAGTTGGTCATGGCTAGTGGGGGTAGGAAGGGTGTTCTGAACTGTATTCAATAATTTTTAAGTTATCCTTTCAAGGCTGAAGAAAAGCACTCTTGAAGTTTAAATGCGTTGAAGGATTGCCATATTGTAGTGCATTACAAGTGTTTAACCTAGCAGATGGTACGACTATACTTTGTGGATAACTTTGCATCCATAGATCACCATTTTATAGGGCACTATAAATGTGTTTAGCCTGGCAGAAGGTACGACTATACTTTGTGTACAACTTTATGTCCCTAGTTCACCAGTATGTAGGACATTACAAGTGTTTAGCCTACAGAAGATACGACTATACCATGTGTACAACTTTACGTCACTAGTTCACTAATATGTAGGACATTTCAGGTGTTTAGCCTATAGAAGGTACGACTATACCATGTGTACAACTTTACGTCATTAGTTCACCAGTATGTATGACATTACAAGTGTTTAGCCTACAGAAGGTACGACTATACCATGTGTACAACTTTACGTCACTAGTCCACTAATATGTAGGACATTTCAAGTGTTTAGCCTACAGAAGGTACGACTAAACTTTGTGGATAACTTTACGTCCCTAGTTCACCAGTATGTAGGACATAACTTTGCCTTCCCTAGTACACCAGTATGTAGGACATTACAAGTGTTTAGCCTACAGAAGGTACGACTATACCATGTGTACAACTTTACGTCACTAGTTCACTAATATGTAGGGCATTTCAAGTGTTTAGCCTACAGAAGGTACGACTAAACTTTGTGGATAACTTTACGTCTCTAGTACACCAGTATATAGGACATTACAAGTGTTTAGCCTACAGAAGGTACGACTATACCATGTGTACAACTTAACGTTACTAGTTCACTAATATGTAGAGCATTACAAGTGTTTGGCCTGGCAGAAGGTACGACTATACCTTGTGCACATGTTTATGTTCCTAGTTCACCAGCATGTAGGACATTACATGTGTTTAACATGTCAGAAGGTACGACTATACCATGTGTACAACTTAACGTTACTAGTTCACCAGTATGTAGGACATTACAAGTGTTTAGCCTACAGAAGGTACGACTATACCATGTGTACAACTTTACGTCACTAGTTCACTAATATGTAGGGCATTACAAGTGTTTAACATGTCAGAAGGTACGACTATACTTTGTGTACAACTTTATGTCCCTAGTTCACCAGTATGTAGGACATTACAAGTGATTTACCTAGCAGAAGGTACTACTATACTTTATGGATAACTTCGCCAGCCTTGCTATTTCCTTCTGGAACTCCTTACTCTCATGTTTTAGAATGCACTAACTACAAACTAATAATTTAACCCTCTAAATTTTGTTGAAAAAAAAAAAAAAGGCGTATACATTCTTAAGCAACACTCAAGAGCCAAGAGGACTTAGTATATACTTCTCGGAACCTGTGAGTACTTACACGTGATAAACTAAAAACTCAACTCGTGATGACGTAATCACAGAACTCTCTAAGTTGATATAAACGGCCGTGAATGTACTTTCTAGAGACAATTATAAAATCTTTATTTCGTTTCCTATACTTCTTTATATTTGCTTGCCGTAAAATAATAACGGAAATTATTATAAAGGTTTTATAATTTTTTCGTTAATTCTCTGAACGCAACGTTTTTTAATTGTTGTTTATTTTGCCCTTCATGATGTAAAAGTCTCTAACCTTTTAACCTATTACATTTTTGTGCCTAGAAGGGTAATAAGAGTAAACCATCACTCAGAGGCAATGCACGTAACAGAAGGATTTCATCCGGGGACCTGAAATTAAGTGTGTGCCTCCTCTATTATATAGAATATAAATGTCTAAAGTTATGTTTCCTGATCAATTATTTATTATTCAGAAGAAAATGACCATTTTTGTATATTCGTATGACACAGGTTTCTATTTTTATAAACCTCGAATTAAAAAGTAAGCTAACGTCAACAATCCTTCCATGAAATAAGTAACAGTGGATAAAGTTATTTTCAGTTGTTGTTAACGTGAGAATGGGATATTTTAACGTACAAATCAGACCACATTTTGTGAACTTTTAGTCATTAATTGATTTCTAACACTAATTGAAGCCTGGCATGGCCAGGTGGTTAGGGCGTTCGACTCGCATTCGACTCACCAAACATGCCCGCCTTTTCAGAGTGTTAACAAACGAAAATAATGCGTGGTCTGCTGTTACTAAACGTGGTTTGTAAAGAGGTTAAGAAAGTTTGTGTATTAACAAAGCAAAACTACTGTGTTAACTCATGCGATCTGTGGTCACTTAACATGTCCGAAAAAGTGCGTGTTACAAGATCTATAAAGAAAACGTGTGTTACTAAATCAAATGTAATGTG